TGTCCGAGCCCCCAAGGTCTGGAACAGCCTGCCACCGGAGGTGGTTCAAGCGCCTTCATTGAACACCTTCAAGATGAAACTGGATGCTCATCTTGCTGGGATCCTATGACCCCAGCTGACTTCCTGCCCTTTGGGCAGGGGGCTGGACTTGATGATCTTCCGAGGTCCCTTCCAGCCCTAATGTCTATGAAATCTATGAAATAGGACTTCATGGCAAGCTTTGATATCACCTTTGCATAGTAGTTATAGGCATTGCTTTATGAAGCTTCAGGTTGTGAACATAAGTGGAAAAAAGCCATGAGTTAGTTTAGCTATAGTTCAGGAACACGATAGTACTTGTGGTTAGTGGACTGATGGTAAAGCTAAAGGATATTAGCCTTATTGGTAAAATTGCTCTGGGTTTTTTTTAATTAGTAAGCATCTTATCTACACCCTTTTAACATGGAATATACCATGTTATATGTGATTAATACATTCACCCTATAACAGCTTTTATAGGCCACTTGTATGCGGGGTTGCAGATAACATGTATTGCATACAACTGAATGTTGTTAGGTGGCAAGTGTGTGTTTGAATGTTTGGATTAAACTGTTCTTGCTGTTGTTGCTACCACCTAGGTTCTGCCTGCGAGTAAGAACAGTCAGATGATCACCTTCACGTTTCAGAACGGCTGCGTTGCCACTCTCCGCACAAGTGGAACTGAACCAAAGATAAAGTATTATGCGGAGATGTGTGCTCCACCCGGACAAAGGTGAGGTTTTCCCTCCCTTTGTTGTATTAGATGTGCTGAGTTGGACATCTTTGCACTTTATTCCTCTCTGCTTGAATGCACCATATTTCCAAATGTAGGGTAGTGGGTGTACATCCCTACTTCTCAAACCATGTCCTACATGCCCTGCATGTTACTCAGGCCCTCTCTACACATTACATTTATACTGTGATTAATGTGCTCATTGTGACATAAATGGGCAAAGTGCTACACGTGCACCCATAAAATGGGGAGCGATTCATGAAAACTTTCCATATACAATGCAGAAAGTTTTTAATTGCTGGTTTGTGTGGCACCTTAAATTGAATCTATGGCTGGGGTTGACAGTCAGCTGATGGTTGGCCCTGTGACTGCACTGGAGCTTGCTTGAGACCTGGGCCAGAGCCAGCAATCAGCTAATTGTTGGCCAGAACCCAGCTGGCCAGTGTAAAGGGAGGCTGGGGTTATGATCCCTGGCTCCTCCTGCAGCATCAAATAGTGATGGCATGATTGAGATCTGATTGTCCAGTCCCAAAATCGCACCTCCCACCATGCACGGGTGGCATGGCAGGATACATGATTGTTGGGATTTGGGATCAGATCCCACTGCGCCATTAAGTGGACATATGTCAGGGGCCCTCATTCTTCAAAGGGAAAGGGGGAAGAGTTCTCCCCATGGGAAATGGGGTTCAGGATGGGGATTGAGTACTCTGAATTGCCAGTGGCATGCACACACCTGACCACAAAGTGCAATTGCCTCAGCAGTAGAGCAACTGGAGAGATGAGATTCAGGCGACTGTTATTGCAATAACTTTTTATCCATTTCTTTTGGAGTGAAGGGCTTTTCTTTTCAGTCAAACTGTGTATCTACTGACCAGAACATCAACCAGCAGCTGGGGCGCATCCCCCCCATGCAGGGGCATGCATTTGCTGCAGCAAAAATAGCAGCGGCACAAATTTGTACTGCTGCTTTTTGCTGCTGCAGACATCCCTGCATGTGGGGTTTGATGCAGGGGAACGTGCCACACTTCAGGGGAACAGCCGTTTTCCCCACTCCTCTCGGCTCCTAGCATGCTGGAGCAGCTGGCGGACAGAAAGAGGTGGGGAGATGCTCTGAGTGGCAGCCAGTGTCTTCCTGGAGGACCAAACCTCCATGTCTGCCAGCGCACACTCCTGTGGCTTGTGCTGCCTGGTTGTTTTTTCTGGCTGGGGGGTTGTTGTGGCTTTTTTTTGCTACCGGGATTTTCTCATAGAAAATTTCGCCCCCTTGCTGCAAATTTGCAGTGCGGGGCACATTTTAATGTGCCGGGTGTGCGGTTTGTGGCACTGCAAAGAGGTTTGCGGTGCCACAAACCGTATGTGCCTGCATGTCTGGATCCAGCCTAGGACACAATCCACTGTTTCAGGAGTTCCTACCCTTTACATTGGCAGATAATGAAATCATAGCTTTGAATTGCCCTGCGTGGCACTCTTCCCATTTCAGCAGGCATCCTGATTTGTCTCTTCCCCCTTTCTCAAAAAGCTAATTTAGTCAGTGGCTTTGTTCGTGGAACCTCATGTGATTGGGGGGAGGGAAGGGGGTCATCACAAACCCTTATAGAGTCTAAATTTCTGGCAAAAATAATAAATTCAGCGTGATCTCATTACTCACTGTTAACACCTCTGTTTTTTCCAAGTTGAACAGGCCTTCACAAGTCACTTTGGTTTGTTTTTTTTTCACTTTTTTCCCCCAGGGTGCTAAGTGCCCATATGCCCACATGTGCCCCACAGGGGCAAGAGGAGCTATGGATACGTTGTATGTGCAAAATATGACTACTTAAGGCACCTAAATTCAGATTTGAGCATCTGCTGTGAGGTCTCCAAATCTGGAGATATATTTTAATTTCCAGTTAACAGATTTTCATTAACATATAGAGAGGTACTGCAATGAACTGTCTTTTAATAGATTTCTGTTGTAACAAGGTTAAGTAACAAGTCAGCCTTTTAAGCAGCAGTGTTCATTGTCACAGTCAGAAGCAGAATAGCAACTGGAATGCATTACTTGTTTCTATGTTTAAATATTGTATTCAAGGGGTGACGTAAAGAACAAGCAGTGCCTCTCTAGCTCTAGTACAAGGTGACCAAAGCAGTTTGAAATGAGTACCACCCATTGCCACATAAAAACAGACAGGGTGTATCGACATGTGTGCTTTACTGCGGAACAGACTAATTTGCTCTACAGTAAGGCCTCACTGTCCACGTGTGTGCCCATATTAGGGTGCAGTCAATTAATTAACTACTGTAGGATAGTACTGCCTGGGACAAGTCCTATCCTACAGCAGAGTAGCTGCATATGCTGAAACACACGTGGATGGTGACCGGAGCTGGCTGGGGCATGAGGGTGTTACAATGCTGGGACTGCTTGCTAGCTAGCCCCACGCTGTAGCACCCTTGTGCCCCAGCCAGCCTCTCTGCAGTACGTTGAGCCAGGGTGGAGCAGCCCTGGCCAGGCAGGCTGACCCTGGGGGCTCCCAGCCCAGGGCTTCTCCTCCCAGGCTCAACCTGCTGCAGTCCCAGGCATACATGTAAACACTGCCCCCAGGAGAAATAAACTCCAGTGCCAACTGCACTGGCTTTTTTTGCTACGTGCTAATTGCACATGTGGATGCACTCACTGGGTTTAGCCCCAATTCCAGTGACAGTGTAAAGTTCAGTGGGAATCAGGTGAGAGCGATGTGCATCTCAAGAAGCAGTCCGTCCTGCTGGATGTAGTCCACTTTTGGCTCCCTGGCTGCTTTCTTTAAACTAGATTTCTTCATATGAGCTAGAAGAGACCATTCGATCATTTGGTCTGGCATGCGTATTAGAGGCCACACATTTTCCCACATATACCTATTTTACTCCCAATAACTTGCTTTTGTGTTTTGAAAACATGCCTTGGGGAAGCATCCAGTCTGGATTTGAAGCTACCACGAGATGGAGAAGCCACCTCTTCCCTGGTTAGCTTATTCCAATGATTATATTCACCTTCACTGTTTAAAACAAAAGCCTAGACCTAACTTGAGTTTGTATGGCTTTGAGTCTAGCCACTGGTTCTTAGGCTTTTGTCTGCTCTGCTTAAAGCTCTTTAGCAGATGGTAATAGATCTACACGACAGTAATTATATACTGTAATCAAGTCACCCCTTAAGCTTCTTTTTGAGAAGCTAAACAGACCAAACTTCTCAAGTGTTGGAATCCAGGAAGGAGAAATATCAAAACTGAAACAATGGCAAGAAGCTTCTGCAGAAAATGCGGGGGCTTTTAAAATGCAGCGTTAGTGTAGAGCTGCCATTCTGGCTAGGTCGGTATTAATCTAACGTGTCCTCTCGTATGTCCTCCCTCTAGTGACAAAACCTTTCTGGAAGAGCAACTACAGAAACTCATTGAAGCTTTGGTTGAGAATTTCCTTGAGCCCAGTAAGAATGGACTGATCTGGCGCTCTGTTTAGTTTGCTTCTGGTTGGTTAAAGAAGTGACTCCTTGCACTGCATCACGTGGAACAAAGAAACCAAGAACAGAAGACCTTCATTTAGCATTCATTTAATATATGTGTGTGTTATTAACTGGCTAAATTCTTAAGACCTATAAAGAAGTAGCATCTTTTTGTCAGTTTTCTTACAAAAAGGCAAGCCTGCCTGACTGATTTGAAAGGAGCTGATGTTGTTTTCCTGTTCTTTTGACCAAAAACACATTTGCATTAGTGGAAAGCAATTAACTTTAAAACGAAGGACTCCAGAAGGGTCACGACAGCTAAACCCTATGGTTGCCTGAGCCTGTTGGGTTTCATGTTCACCTAACTTCAAATACCTTAGCAATTTTTGGTTTGAAAGACTACATCAGAAAGCTCTGTTAGTCGGAAGGGAATAAGCGATCGCATCAGACTGACAAAAGAAGCCTGCTTCTTCATAGCTGTGGTGTGAGTGTAGGTATCATCTACTGTTACAGGTCTTAATTTACCAAGTATGATAAAATAGAGTTCCTAAGTAGGATTTCTAGTTTAGGCAAGTGGTTACAGTATAATTTGTAGCTATTTAAATATCCTTCTGTTATCAAAGGTGCTCTTGGTGCATTGTATCTCTTCCTGTGTGTATCTTAAGGAAATGTTTACTTGACAGTGAAACAACAGTGGCAATCCATGCAATGCTATTTGCAGCTTGGTTTTGATTGGTCTAACAGTGCCTTTCCTAGGGCTTCCACGTGAGAGAGAAATTGGACTATATTTTGGGATTCAATTAGTCATTCTAGCCCCCAAAGGTCTATTGAGCATGATGTTAATCCATTTAGGTTTCATCCACTTCATAAACATCCTCCAGTTTTCTGAATCTCAGTCCTTATCTGAGATGAGAAGCATGTGGGGTTTTGGGGTTTTTTTAAAAGGCAGACTTAAAAAGAAGTCTTGGGAATACAGAGACTTAAACCCTGGGGGAATTTCCATATAACTGCTTTAAATTGTGCTGTCCCTGTACTGTTCTTATTTGTGAGAAAGGGAACTAAGGGAAATGAGACTGGGGCTGTGAATAATGACCCCCTTACTCATTCTCCTCTTCATGGTTTACAGTTTTACTTGCTGGCCAACCCCTTGTGGTGTCTGCATCCCTATCCTCCCTATACAATCACTTTATTGTAAGTTTTTTAGCTACTACTTATAATTAACAACTGGTCCCTTCTGCTCTGCCTGGAACCTGATACTGCTAATCCCAGTTGAGACCAGTTAAAAACGCTAAAGTAGCCTTTAAGAAAAACATGCCTTTCATGTTCTGAATGTAGGATGGCTTTGGAAAGCTCCTTTAACACCTGAAAAAGGGTTTACTGCTTAGCCTGTTCCTTTGGTGCCACATCATGATGGTCACTAAATCGACCGCTAAATCACTGATTTATAAACCTTTCACAATAAGGATAGTCATGCTCTGGACTCCTAGCCAATACGGCCCTAAAATAAGTAACTAGATCAAATAGACACGGAAAACACCCGTGTACTTCATCTGCCTAAACATGGCTATAAGACTCCTCCGGGTTTTTTTGGTGAAGCTACTTTTAAATGGGTGTATAGCCACGTTTATGTAGCCCAAGAGGCACTTCAGTTTAAACCAATGTTTTGCCACTGTTGCTAAATCTTTGACTGTGTCCTCCACCTTATTATACCCTTATAGCTGGACTTCAGAGGGCTGTGCAGAATGGCACCACATGTTTCTCAGCTAGGCGGATGTAAAGAGTACCGTGTATCTGTGCGGGTATTGGATATTTCATGCTGACCGAAGCTTTGCACTATGACCGTAAATAAGTATTTTAGTTGTATATGAATGTACGCATACTGCAGGAAGTTTTGTCTGTGTTGCACAAGTTCTTATTTACAAGCAATATTTATTTATTTTTATTTCAAGAGAAAAGTGATTTCCAAGCTGTCTGCACCGTTGAGTGAAATGTCTGTAATGCCAAAAAGGGTAATTTGTTGTTGTTTTTTTGTATATTTGATTGCTGTAGTGGAGGCAAATGGGTGAAAGCAATTGATCTTGAGCGCTCATGATATATTGCACGGCATGGCGGGAGGTACCCGTGAGATGGGAGAAAATCCTCTGTAGCTTGCCGCTTGGTGTTGAATTTCCATAGAAGAAAAGATTCGGGCCCTGCTGAAGTGAGTGGAATTTTTGCCATTCATTTCGCAGGCAGTAGGTTCAAACCGCTCTGGGGTTTTAATCTATTTAGTAATTCGGAAGAGAACAACTCATTTTGGTGTGGCATGAACAAAGCTAAACATTGCAGAAGAAGCAAATAGCGTTGTGTTATGTGGTTGGCCAGCTCTGCATACAGCGTAGCCGATGCTTGATGAAAACTGAGTGCCTCTGGCAAAGAGCTGAGCACTTCTCCCAGTTTAAATCAGGCCCCAGGGCTGCACTTTCAGTTAGCTGGATGTCCTAAACACAACAGAAAGCTGTTTTGTGATAGACATTCAAATCTACTTCCCTAGGAGCCCATTAGCCAAGTGTGGTCTGGATCTCATCCGCTTAATAGAGGATGGAAACATCTTAGTGCATATAGTCTTAAATGCTTAAAAGATTAAAAATTGGGGTGGTAGGGGCATGGAGGGGGCTGAGCCTTAACAAATCTGAGAAGTTGAGTATCTGGTTCTCTTAATTCACAGGCTCACCCCCCTCCCTTCGTCCTTGAGCAGTACGGCGTGGAAGTAGTATTGCTTTGGGAGTGTCGGCGACTGACTCCAGGATGAATGTGTTCTAAGGGTATAATAATTATTGCTGTTCAAATTGCTGCTACCAGTATTTTCCACTGATGTCTCTGTAATGCTTGACGTATCCATACTATTCCATTGGAGGAAGACTTTTCCTTTGTCTTGCCTTTGCATCACCACCTCCCTACTTTTGTTACTGTGAAATGATGTCATTCTGTTACCTCGCTGCCGAGTAACTTTTGCTGTGCCACTGTGCTTCCAAGTGCTTTGGACTTGTGGACTATTCTTACTAGCTTTTGTTTTCACTGTGTGAGAAGGGGAGCGATCCTTGAGCTGATCAACCCCTTCTGGTTTCGTCTTGATGTTTGACTCCGCTTTTTCCTGTTTTTATAATGGGTTTGTGTAGAGGAAATCCTCATGTTGCAGCTGTATGACAGCCAGTGATTTGTGTTTGGCATTTGATAAGTTTGAGGGTGGGGGGAGGGTTGTTTTGCACTGCTACATACGGAGGGGTTGATCCTGTCTCATTCTAGTTCTCTGGCAAAATCCCCCTGGCTCCCATGGGACTAGGAGATGGCCCCAGTAGCACAGGAATTGCCAGCCAATTTCAAATATTTATAATACACCTTTTGTACTTACGTCTAGGCCCCTATCTCATTCAGGACAGGATGTTCTGTTCACTCAGTAGAAACAAAATCAAGACCTGTTGATCACTTCAAGTGGGGTTCACACTGCTGCTCTCCATAACTGGGCAGTACTTCTAGCTGCGGCAGGAGCAGATAGAGAAAGCTCCTGAATGTAGGTCCTCCTGCCTGGAAGCAACACAGCGATGCAACGCGGACAACCTGCCAGTCGGTTGTAGAGCAGAATTTACTCCCCTGCTCTATGTGCACCGGGTGTGTTGTTTTGCCATCAAATTGGGAATGAATAAATAGAATACAGTTAATTTTAAGCTCTCCTCAACCTCCTTGAACCCACCAGAATTCACTCTTAGACCCAGTAAAGTGTGAATGGGAATCACGTACTGGGGTCTGGCCGACAAGATCAGGCCAATGCTGAATGCCCCGTTAAATGTAAAGCTGTTTGTGGCACCTCAGGCCTTTGTGCATGAGCATGTAGGAGCTTAATAAATGGAAACCAGCCCAGGGCAGGAGCCAGAATAAAGTAGTTCTACGCTCGATCGATCTTCCAAGCCATTAACAGCAACTCACTTGCTTTGCACTGAGTTTAGCAAGCTGCCCAGTTTTCCTTTGTGGGCTCCGAAGAGAGCCTTTTCTCCCTTAGCACAGAGGATGCAGGATACAGCTAACTTTGTTTCAGCCTGGGACAGCAGTAATGTGTGAGGGTCCCCGTACCCGCAAAGGGCTGATCGAGACTGGTTTTTCAACTGTCCCTGCATCTCTGCGGGCAGGATGCCATTATAACACTGCTAGCCCTGGTTCTGCAGTACTTGAATAGGACCAGTCCCTTTTCATACCACTCCACACGTGCCAGACTGCTACCCTCCTGTGGTGTTCATCAGAGCATTCAGATTGGCACCCCTGATCCCAAAGGGGTGTTTCAGAAAAACACCCTCACTGTGTGCAGATGTGGCCTCGAAGCTCCAGCACCAGCACAAGCTTTGGCGTAGTCACTGCTGCTTTCAGGCACAGCCAAGCTGCTGCTGTCACAGTAGCAAAGTAACCCCTGAGCGCCTAAAGCTGTGAGCCCCAGTCCTAAAACTGGCCGGGCAGAGGCCCATTACAGCACAGGGTGCCTGCGTGCCCTCACCAGGGACAACCTGCTCGCTGTGACACCATCTAGGAAATGCCTGTGGCTGTGGTGGTAGGATCATTTGCCAAGACGCTTCTCTCTCGATACGGAGGCGATCGGTTGATGTAATACATGGGGGGCCCAAGACACAGCCAGCGTAGTTTCATTGCAGGGTGGTGTGTGAAGCTTGTGTAGCAGAGCTACGCTCCCCACACCACTGTGCAGCACAGCAGTCGTAACCCCAGCTGCATGGCGAGGGTCACAGGTTGAGATCAGCAGTCCCCCCCCAGCAAGGGGGATTCCTCCTGCCCCCTTTCCAAGCCTAGCTCCTGGTTCTTGCCACTTGGGGAATCTTTTTGCCATTAAAAGGGAAATTATTAGTCCTAAAATTTAAGTTCCTCCCTTTATCAGCACTCCTGGTGCCTGTAAGTCTGAATGACTTCAAGAAGCACCTGCTACAAGCAGGCGAGCTTTTCCTGCTCCAATGAAGGGAAGGAGACATGGTGAAGCCTGGATACTGAAAGCCTAATCCTGATTCCAGGTCCATATTCAGCTATTTCCCTTGCATGCTCAGTAGCTGATTCTTCTAATAGTACCCATGATATCTGAAGTAGCATTGTGCTCCTGATGTAGACCCTTAGAGTTTCAGATCTGTACCTGTCTTTGTTACCTATCCTATATCTTTTTTTTTCCGTTTAAGATATTAGGGTGTATTATAAATGCAGACTGAGAATTTGCACTTTTCTGTATGTATTATTACGTGGACTTAGCTGAATGAAGTGTTGTAATAAAACGTTCTCTTCGTAGTAGCTAGTCTCCACGTGTGCGGCGTGCGGTTTTTCTTCCCCTCCCTCGAGCTTACTGGAGTAGTTTTGATGCTACTTGTGGTCATGCTGTTTAGAAATTTTTGATCAGTAGACGAAGGAAGCAAGCGTGGACTAAACTATTTCACCATCCGAGTTGCAATATGCTAGCTATATAGAAGAACGCTTACAACAAGGGTCGCATTGCTTCAATATACACACAATCAAATTATCCAATCTCTTAGGATGGGTATAACGTACAGCCTGATGTTACAGCGAGAAGACGGGCCAAGCATGTATCACGGACTTTTTAAGTAGGCTGAAATTGAGCATAAAAATTGAGCCGACGTTTTCTGGTAAGATCTAAGACTGCAAACATGTCTTTGCATTGATTTCTAAGTGTGCAGGCCTCAGGCACCCTGTTGCAATGGCGCGGGGGCTGTGCGAGAGCTTAGCTTCGTGATATGACAAATGTCAGGCACAGTCAGAAATCAATGATTTTTCAGATGAATGGGCAGCGTGAGGGCTGAGGCTCAGGCCCAGTGCTGCTCGGTTCCCAAAATGCAGAGGTAGAGAGCGCTCCAGGCACTGAGCTGCTAACGTGGGGGGGTTAGGGTAGAACAGCCAGGAATTCGGGACAAATTGAAACCTGTTATTTACATCAATACAGTGCCTGCAACCTGCAGCCTTCATGCGTTTTGCTCCCTCCTGTGGAGATGGGTCTGAAACAATCCAACCTGAGCTGCGAGGAGGCTCAGGATCTGCACTCAGACACACACAACACAGTAAAGCAAGGTTAGCCTGCAGACATGCTTGTATCTGGTATCTAAACCCCCCATGGGATAAGAGCACCCCCATTCACCGGGAGTCCTTCCTCCCAGCAAAGACCCTGGGAGCTCCTTTCTCCTAGGGCAGTGGATTGAGGGACCAAAACAGCTCAGGGACACAGCAAGAGGAGATGTCATCCAACCACCACGTGGCTAGGTTGGGCACCCAGGCAAAGCCCCAGCTCCCTGGCAAGACGGGCACAAATCAGAAAGATGCAACTGGTCAGAAGCTCGCACAAGCTCCACTGACCCTTTCCCTCCTTGCAGCCACAAATCGTCCAGCCTGGTCAGGTGTTGCATACTGGGAAAAGGGTTGGCAGTGCTTTCAGGGGCAGGACGTGATTGTGTGTCCCCCTTTGGTGAAGGGGCAGAAGTAGGGACTGGAGAATGCAGCTTGGGTTCGGTGTGCCCTGTCTTTCTCCCATGTGTGTCGCCTCACCTGCGGGTGGTTGGATATTGTCAGCCTTGCTTCTCTCTCGTGCCTAGAAACTGGTGATGAGCATGCTCTGAATGCTACGCATAAATGCATGGAGATCTGAGTTCCTCGGGCAGGAACCTCAAGATTCTGAATAGGGGCAGATGTGCTCGTGTCCAGGAAGCTCCTAGATGCTCGTGCCCAGCACACAAGCCCCTGCACGGGCTGGAAGGTGCAGATTGCTGAGCCGCTGACATCTCTCCCTGCAGCGATCGGCTCGGAAAACAGCCCTGAGGAGTTCAGGATAAGGAGGAAGATTCTTGGTGGGCGTGCTGGGAGGTGGGGTGGGGGTTGTGGACCCTGCCAGCATCCAGACCTTTCTCCTGCCGTCCCATCTGTTGTAAGGGCCTAGTGAGAACATCAAGGTATGGTTCTCAGGGAACAGCACTTTCTCCTTGCACTTGAGGACAACTTGCAGCGCATGAAACTGTCCCAGGTTTCCTACGAGGGCACAGAAAGCAGTCCCTTGTGATACTGCCGAGAGGAACGCGGTGGTCATCTCCCACCAGCAGGTACAGACAGTCCAGGCGGTTGTCCCAGCTGATCCTTGCCCCGGCCTTACACCTGTCTAAAATCGTGGTGTCCCCCTGACATCACCTCCCCTCTGACGCTGCCTACTACGTCCTGTCTGTCAGTGGCTATGCAGGTGCTGCCCTCTAACAGGACTCCTGCCCGCCCACCCGAGCCTTCCTGTCTGCTCAGAAGCCTCCTGAACACCCATGGGATCTCCCCTTCCCCACCAGCGCACACACCAGTTTAAGCTGCAGATCTGGCTTTCCTAGGAAATATGACAGCCTGCCAAAGTGCCCCTTCCCTGCCCTTGGGGTCCTGCCTTCCCAATGACAGGTCTTAATCTGCTCCTTTCTTTTGTCCTGTGGTGCTGGTGCCCCTCAGGCCCAAGGAGCGTACAGGAAGGGGGCAGAAATTGTTTAGCCCTGAGTCCCTGCAAGCCAGTCCTGTGAAATGGTGGTGCACAAACCACGGCTCTACCAGGATTTGTCACCTCTTCACAGGCTCACCAGCATCCAGCCCTTTTCCCTGGGACACTCCTGACAATTTGTTTAGAAGTCACCTGAGACCCAGCCAGGGGGTACACATTCCCCCAGATACTGTGTCCGGCCAGATCCCCAGAGCTGTGGGGACTTGCTGGGCTGGGCTCTGGTCCCCTCATCTGGCTTCTCCACAGACGGGAGACAACAGCTGGAAACATGAGGGGAGATCAAAGAAACGGCGAGGATGAATTCACTGAGATCTGCAAGTGGTTGGAAGTGCAGCTAACAAAGTCTCTGCAGTTGTCATCGCTGGGGACCTGTTGTGCTTTCCCTTGCAAAGAACCCCCACCAGCCAGGATTCTCATTCACCTCTTGCAAAGAAACCCCACCAGCCAGGATTCTCATTCACCTAGGGCAGTGCTTGCAAACTGCTAAAGTGTCGGACTTTGGGATACCGTGTGAATCCCTACGTGGGGCAGAAGATGGGGGGGAAAAGGTTAAAACACAGGCCTATTTGTTACACAGAGGAAACCTTGGGCTTAGGCCCTCCCAGAAACTATAAGTTTCCCTCTGTTGTTAGAAGGAGGCCACTGAACACAGAACAACTTGGTTCCTGGGGACCAAAACTAGAAGGAAAAACCAGGGACAGGAGTGGAAATCAGCTGCGAGGTTAGATGTGCGGCAGCAGGATGCATCACCCATCCTTCAAAGACGGCAGTTTTGTCATGCCCTGCACCCTGAGCTCCAGCTCTGTGGAGCAGCAGCAACCCCCGGAGCTCATTTAGGGCAGCGCAGGCTAAGACGCAAACAGAAGGAAGTCATATAGCCAAGGGGCCAGAAATTTGGAGAAGGAGCCAAAGAGGAAGCTTTGCTCACCTTTCTTCCTGCATTTGAAAGGTGAGAACGACCCTCCTCCCTTCCAGTAGGCTTTGTCTCCCGCTAATCGGCTTTTCTTCTGCTAATTGCTTGTCTTCTACCCCTAGGGATTTCTCTCTCCTCCCTCTTCCTACTGTCTTTTACTATGCTATGTTGTGCTGGCTTTTACTGCTCAGACCTGATGATGAATGCTTCCCATTCAAAAGCTTGTTTAACTCCATCTCCACTGTGCAGCTGGTTCCCTCAAGGAGATCACCCTAAGAGATCCTTGCCTCTCTCAATTCCTGGACCATCATAGCTGCTCCATCACTCTCTCACTACCAAAGGAAGGAGAAAAGATGCGATCCATAAGCCGCTGTGAAAGCCAGGTGACCAGCCTTAAGGAAGTGAGAGACTCCGGGCATATTTACACGTGCTTAAACTTAACACACCTTTGCTTAAGGTGCATTAGAGCGATTTAGGCATGTGTCTACACACGAACATACTAATGCGCATTAAGGTGCATTAAATTTAGCTGTGAATAGCTAAGTTGCATTAGTTCATTAACACGGTGTGTATCCGTTGACACACACCATGTTAATGCACATTAACATGTTTACACATGTGCTAATGCGACTTAGCTCTTCACATCTAAATTTACTATCGGCTGGTATCAAATTTAGGCTCACCTAGTCTTAAATTGCCATTTTTAAGGTGCATTAAGGGCGGACACGTGTAGAAACGTGCCCTTAATGTGCCTTTAAAATGGCCATTTAGGCTAATCCTGCTTAAAAGAGACACCTGTAGGTGCACCCTCCATGCTAGATGATTCGCCAGTACTGCAAATACGGCCAGCAGGGCCTGCCACGTTCAGGCCCAGCTAGATTTTGGGGTGTCTTTGGGGAAGATGGTCAGGCAACGGTGCTTCCCCTGTTTCAGTGTCAAGGAACATGAGGACACATTGCCCATGGAGATGGCCCCTAGGAGCACATCTGCATGAAGAGTGTTGCCAGGAGCAAGCTAGAACCATGGGCTTGAAAAGGACTTTGAGAGTTGCTCAGTCCATCTCCCTTAGTCCAGATGCAGATGTTGCTGCATCTCACCCATCCCAGGCAGATGTTTCTGCAGAGGTTTATCTTCAATAAAGGAGCTTCCACAGTTGGCAGTACATGAAGATTTCTGGAAAAAGCCAGAATGGCAGAGCTCTGTAATCCTTGCGGTTAAGCTGTGGGATAGTTCGTTGAGCGTATCGGCAATCCAACCAAAGCTGAGACCAGCTGCAGATAAGAGACAGAAGCCCAAAGTCACAAAGTTGATTCTCCACTTCCTCCAAACAGCCCTTCCTCCTTCACCCCCATTTACACTCCTTTCTTTTCCCAGCCCTGTGTATGGATGATCTGCAGCCTGAGTTCAGCAGTTAAGGCAGGTTGAAGATGGTTCCTACTCAATTTTTTATTGTCGTAGGTACAAAAAAAGCTGGAGAGTGCTCCATTCCTCCTTAGTACACCCCTCTAGTCCTGCCAAGTCCTTCACCCCCATTTGCACTCCTTTCTTTTCCCAGCCCTGTGTATGGATGATCTGCAGCCTGAGTTCAGCAGTTAAGGCAGGTTGAAGATGGTTCCTACTCAATTTTTTATTGTCGTAGGTACAAAAAAAGCTGGAGAGTGCTCCACCAGCTCGGAGGCACTTCCCAGTGCCCCAGCAGGCCGGACAACAGAGCACACTGCGAAGAGCTGTGGGCTGGCAAAGTCTGGAGGCAGCAGTTGTTACAGCAGACGGCCATCCATGCACGGCCTCCCAGGACAGGGACACTGATGCCCTGTCTGACCATGCAAGCATCGGCACTGCCTCTGCCAG